TTTCAGGAGAATCAGCTCTGAAATTGGTGCCTCTAGCATCCTCGTCACTCGTCCGCACCATTGCAGTTGTGGAGTTGATCTTTCGATCCGCAGAAGGAGCAGCTCACTTGCAGTTCGTTCACATCAAGTCATTTACATACCCAAAAACGACTGATCAAATCTAAAAGCGGACTGGGAATCATTGAAGGTTTATACTACGGAAGAGGGACAAGTACAAAGCGTTTTAATTACCAGCAGGCGGTTTACCTCACTGATGCTCCACGAGCCCTACACTGGATTCAGTACGCAGACCGCGCAAAAAATGCCTTTGCAAAACACTACACTTCTTGCACATAAAGGTTTCTAACTGCTGGGATACCGATCCACCTTATGCTTCATGATGGGCCCCTTTGTGGCAGTTTTCTCACAGCATATGGTGAGGCATTGATCTTGACGCTATCACCCAGTGAGCCACTTATTTTCTAGTAATGTCTGTATCTAGGTGACGAATATAGCGTGCAGTCAGTTGTTTCTTTTCCCACGAAGTGCTACTCATCTATTCTGAATTCTGAAAGATGAAAGGAGAATGATTAGAGCAGATGTTGAGTTCGTGATTTTTCGACCGTGAGTCAGACGCTCTACCGATAGAACAACTACTATTCCAAAACGACCAAAGAGAAAACGCTGGAAACTTCTCTTCGTCTTTTCCTTTTCAAATTCTTTCTGTAAGTTTCGCTTTCCTGATCACCGTCGCCAGCCATCTTTGCAAATTCCAATTACAGTCAGGTCTTACAGTATTACTCTACCTCTGCTAGTTTTGCCTCAATCTACTGTCATCATCATGTGACATCTTGATATTCCATAACGTAACTGACATTCCTCTTCAGCGTACCCAGAACCACCCGTATCAGTGAAAAAGAAAAGGAAAGTCTGTAATCGTTGCCATGTCGGTCTGCCTTACACTCTCATAATCGGGTAGCCATTCGTGGTACTATTTCATGAAGCTCATGATGCGATAATGATCTCCGTTTCTTTGCCATCAGCCACAAGTGTTTTTTAGCAGAATCGACAGCAGCTATGTGGCAAGCATAGCGTTAGTCTGCTGTTTCTTTCCGACGGAGTGAAACTCATTCATCAACCATGGAAGGAAGAAAAGCAAAAGAAGCGACCCAACCGAGACTCGAACTTGTGACCTCCATGTTTCGAGTTCGCTGCTCTACCAACTGAGCACCTCCAGCTACGTTCGCGGTAGAATCTTGACAGTTCAGAACGTAACTTACGCCCCTTTCCACAAGTGTTCTCAGTATTTTTCCCTCTTCCAGAAGAAGTTTCCAAATGATGCAGAAATTGAAAATAAACACTAATTTATAAATATTTGTCTTTAAATAATTTTTCAATTCCAGTTCATTCCTGGATACAAACCGCCAAGGACAAAACAGCCTGGCATGATTGCGCTCGGCGTGTCCACACTGAAAGCCCGATCAATCTTTGAATCTTTGAAAATAACTTATAAAAAATTATTGTTTAAATGGCTCAAAACAAAAAAGTAGCATCAAGAATAGAGTCCTCACGTCTATATCAGACTTGGAATTTTCCAAAACGTGCTGTGCAAGTTTTGGTCGCGCGTGGCGCAATATTCCGATTAGCTTACAAAGGTCACACATGCCTGCTGCCTGCCCCCTCCCCATCTGTGAAAAGCCAGATCAATAGAAAACGGATAAAACAAAGATGATAATTAAATACTTACTTCATTCGGTAAGGATCATGCGCCTAGATACCCATAAGCACGTCGTCAGCTGGTTTCGAAGAAAACATCACGATTGGCGTTGGTGCTTACGGTGCCATCGAAAGCGTCTCTAATTCGACCAGATCATC